GTGAGAGGGCCGGATTCGCGGCTCCCTATTTTTGCGTAATTTTTTTCCCCCTTTTTAGCGTGTGTAAAGGGTGTTTTAGAGTGTATAAGAGTGTTTTAGCGTGTGTAAAGGGTGTTTCAGGGTGTGGAAGAGTGTTTTTAGGGTGTGTACAGGTGTGTATGTGTGTGTAAGGGGTGTCTAGGTGCGTGTCGCGTGTTTCACCCTCGCGGGAGGGGTGGAAAGGGAGGGGGCGAGACGCAGCGGCGCAGATGCTCCCGAAGGGTAGGGGCGGTTTTTGGGGGCGGCCGAGGGGAGGAAATGGATGGATAGATGCCGGCGACGTGTGTCTGCCATTGTGATTTTAAATTTCGAAACCCAACCCCGGGTTTTCACCCCTTTTAGCCCCCCCTAGCGTGCCGGCCCCCTTAAGGTGCGGTTACGTGTGGCGGGACGAACTCGGTCCACATTTTTTCCTCGATATTTTTGAACTTTTCTCTTTATCCAGGATTTTTTTAATACAACTTTTTCTATTGATCGTTAATCCTACCAATTGACAATTAATTGATAAGTCGGCGGTGGATTTTTTATAATTTGATAAGCGGCCACATGTGAGGCGACATTAAACAATGCGATCACGCATGCACGGTGATAACCCAATTCGATAGTATCGACCACGGGTCCTGAGCGGCCGATAAGACTTCAAAGAAGTTACTTAACATTCCTACTGATAAAGGGAAAAGAATTACCGTGTCGCCACGATAAGTAACTTCTCATCGTTCATTAGTCAATTGCGGAGGAATTAATTATCCTACAGTAATGGATATCGACCGGCGGCCATTTTGTTTTCCTGGGAGAAATTCCGCTCCACGATCCCATTGGGTCTCTAGAACTTTGATTCGTCCACATGGATTAAAAGGGCCCATGCCCATAGGTTCATAGGCAAATGGGGTGAATTTCTTTCGAAAGGGTGCGCGCCCTTTTGCCTATTTAAAATTTTCAAAATGGCGTTCGGATTCTATCCTCAAGAAGCATAGAGAAGAAATAACCGCTACAGGTGGAAATAACGTAATTGGAATTGATTAATAATATAATATACACGTTAGTAATGATAATTTATAGTGTAAACCCCTCTCCGTTTGCCTACTACCCCCCAGGGCAATTTTTTGAATAATCCCGGATTATTATTTAATACCAATGTTTATTCGGCGATCTCCGCATTAAGTACTCGAGGTACTTGAAGTAAGCTGCTTTTTTTTTCCGTCGGAGCCGTTCATCCCCTTAGGGGTGCGCTGATTCGCTGAAATATTCACACTCCCATAGGTCGTTCCCAGGAGGGGTGAGAACGAAAGGGTGCGCAACTACCCTCCTCGGGTTTAAAGTCTCCAAAATGGCGGCGCCTTCGCGGAACGGCATGCAGATTGACCTACGCGCCTGCGCACTTAAGGAGCCTCGCTAGCCAATCAACGAGGCGTGGACTCGCGCATGTGCCGCGGGCTCTCAGTCTTCCGCCAACCCTACCGGAGTCAACATCGGGAAATTCCGGAAAATTGGCGAAATTAAATGGGGAAAAAATCCTGTTCAGATATTTCGTCCGTTTCGAGGATTCTAGGTCAATACTACGGCCCGATTAAGGGTCGTTCACCCCGGATTCCCTTATCACCCGGGTTTCGGGTATCAGATCAGGCAAACGATGCAGCTGCACCGGATTTATCTCCCTCGATAACGAGATAAGTCACGTTTAAAGTAGGGAATTATAAAAGTCACTTTTTATGTACAGCATTTTAGGAAAGCGAGATCAGGAAGGGGTGAATGGGGGTGAACCAGGGGCGGACATCTTTTTCGGGGTAGGTGCGGCGATTTACTTATCGAGGGGTAGCTTCGGGGTGGCCATACGTCCTGGCTGGTCGCCTGTCCTGCCCTAAACAGGATTCAATTTGGCCACTACCCCTTGGGTCCACCTTCAAAGAAGGATCACCGTCACCGGCGTCGAACCACCCCTCCGCTGACCGGTCGGCTTCTACTATTAATCTTGTATCGGGCGCTTTATTCACCCCCCGCCACCTCCCAATCTCCGCCAGCCCTTGACTCCAAAGAGGAATTTTCAATTCCTTCGAGTGGAAGAGAAATAGAGATCAATCGCGACTGACGCCGAGGTTTGGACTCAGATAATTCCCGTCATCTCCCTTATCTACCCACTCACACCCCTTCGGGTAAATTCGATAAGGGCGAACTTCGGAGTAAATTAATATATAAAAATCATCCCTTCTGATCGATCTAGGAATTTTAGGCAGTTAGATAAAAATTGAATGGAAAGCGTGAAATATGGGGATGTTTTAACCCCAAAGAAAAATTTTCATTGAGTGAATAAATTCATGTATATTTAAATCGTCTCCTCTGATCAACCAATTTCTTAATTGTAGAAAAATTGTAGAAAAACTGTACGGGGGTGGTTTCTGCAATTCTGGAGGTTTCAAGGGTTAGGGGTGGGTTTGGCGACCTTGCCATGCAGAGTATTAAGAAGGGTTGCCACCCCGTCCCTGGGGGGCCGTTAAAGCGAAATAGCCCAAATGCAAGGTGGCCACTCGGGGGTGAACTCACCCTTACTGGGGGGAGGCGGACCCCTGGACTCGCGGCGTAGGTAAATCGTCGTTATCTGGACAGTGATAAACCCGTGAATGGAGTCCGGTCCGCCCGACGAATGAGCGCGGGGAATGCAAAGAGGGGTGGCTACCCCATTGGCCGGCTGGCCGGGTCCAAGGGAACCCGTCAAATGGATGGACTACCCCTGAGTGCCACCCCCGAGTGCAAATTCGATTTCCCTTCCAAGTCGAGCCTCGTTTCTCCGAGCACCGTCCAGGGGTGGGTCCATTCTTCTTTTTCTATCCATCCGGGGAAAATTTCGCCGGACCGAGCTTTGGGGGTTGATTCGCGGCACCCTGGGGGTGGGCCACTGACCGTAGCCTTTAAAATTCCTCTCGGAAGGTTCTTAATGAACAGGGAATTATTTTCTAAGGGATGAAACGGAAAGGAAACTTGAAGTTTATTTCTTCCAGTGTGGAATTCATTTTTTAGGGAATGCGCAGATAAAGAGGTCCGCGATAATCGAATCTCGCGGGGGTGTGCCATGGGAGGGGTGGTTTCGTTTGTCCCGGCCATGGGGGTCTATGTGGGGATATTCAGGGGGGTCGACGGGGTTGGGACATGCAACCACCGCGAGATTAAAAGAACCGCTGGCCCGTGTTAGGGGTTGCCCCGCGCCTCGGGCTACACCCTTGGCACGAGGGGGTGGAAAATCAAGAGGCGCTTTAATATTACAAATGGAACCGAATCAAAAGTCTCCTGGTCCTCGCCCATGTCGGGAAGCATTTTATCGAAACCCACCCCCGACCTCTGGAAACCACCCCTTCTCGCTTCCTCCTGAAAAGAATGTTACACTTCATAAAAATGATCAGGAAAATTTTACGAAAATTGTATGCGATGAGGTTACATCAGAAGAGGAACCATTTCACCCCTTGATACCTAATAATAAATTCAGAAGCATACTAAAGAAGAAAAATACGGAAAATAAAAAATTAATTCCAAAGGGTACTTTTATGAAAGGTGGAGTGACATTCTCCTGGCACCCCGTGATTCATCGTCGAGGCTGGGAATAATTTAGAGGATTGATGACGGGGGTGGTCCACGGCAGCCCTTTCTCCCCTGGAGAAAGGACTTTCTCTTAACAGGGGGTGGCGGAGACGCTAATGCACGCGAGCGCGACAGCGAGGGAAAAATCGAGTGGAACGGAGGAAACCGGGGTGGTAACTAAGTCCATCCACCTCGGGAGGGTGGAGAGAGAGAAAGAGGGGCAGAAAGGAGAGGGGAGGAAGAAAGATGGATAAAAGAAAGCGTACCCGGCGCTAACTAAGGGCGTCGGCTAATCAATATCATCAGAGAATGGCCGCTGGCCTGACTGCCCCTCGCCGAAGACCACCCCATTGGTCCAGCGGATGCTGGACGAGAGGACGGAAATTGGACGGGGTTGTCTATTTCTTTTCATTCGCTGTTTTAAAAAAAAATACCTAATATCTTCCCACGGTTCCCTCAAAGATCATTCTTGAACGTGAAATTGCCCATCTACGTCTCGGTTGGTCCAGAGGATGCTGGGAGAGAAATTGAAAATATTCCTTATAATTTCACATTTTTTTCCCGATGTTGCTCCTCATGCATAAATAATTCTTAAACGCGATATAAAAATCGGATCGTCCCGGGAATTAAAATCCAAGGCGTCGACGTTTACCGGGAGAAAATCCAACCCCTTGAGCAAGTACGGATAAATCGATCTGGATACGAAGAGGTGATTTAAAAATGAGGAATTTCCATGGAAGGGCATTTCCCTCCGGTGTGGAGAGAATAAATAAGAAATTCCAGGGAATATCCAGGAAACTGGGGAGCTCCTCGTGGTCCCGGGTGCGTGACCCTGGAAGCCCATAAACCACCCCATGCACAGGCTCCCATGGACCCCGGCGTAATTAGAGGCTGCAGTCTGGAACAACATCCAGGTCGGCCATTGTTCCCGAAATTAAGGGAAACCGGGAAAAAGGGAAGCGCCGGGAAATGCATAGGAGAGGAAACCAGAGGGGTTGCTAATTACGTATAAGAGCGAGGGCGGCGAAGCCATTTTCCTCGCACGCGCTTTTATGTATACAGGGTGACGCATGCCGAGGGTGGATACGTTTACATGCTTCCACGCACTTTCACATGAGCTCGTGTGTCCGCAGGGGGTGCGTCGTTAATTCCGAGGCCCTGGACCAGGAACATACCCTTATCCTCCAGGACTCATATACGCCACCCCTACTCGTCAATATTGCTCCAGAGCTAGCTAGATTGCAGTTTATCCGTGCGCGACTCTTGACACCCCCTGTATAATTTAATATAAATTATGAGGAATTAATAAAAAATTTGGAGGAGCGATGTACGTTATTCTTGGATTTTTCTGCGGGAGGAAAATTGAGATTGCATTGTTTTCTTTTCTATTTCAGGGAAAGTATGGATGGGGGACGGCGAAGTCGCGTGGAGGACGGAAGGGAGTTTCCGGAGAAACTCACCCTTAGCTCCATGCGCGGCGACGACGACGGCGAGCTTGACGACGACGACGACAACGACGTCGTCGACGGGGGGAGGCGCCCCTGCCCAGCCCCATATGTCACCCCCTATCGCCGCCCCCGTAACGACCCCCGATCACAGGAGCTCGTCCACCCTCCACGCGAAACTCGGCATCTCACCTGGTGAGTTCTCATGAATTTTCCCTAATTTATAGGAAAGAACGTTTTCGATTTCGAGAATTATTTAAGGGCTGAAGAGTTTTCCACCTGGATAAGAAAAGGAGGGCAATCTCGACGAGGTGGGAATTTCGCCCGGGTTTAGGGGTAGTTTCATGTACCATCCTCGGTGGTCACTCGCCCTCGAAATCATCCCTCCTGTGGAAATTCGACGGCGCGAAAAACCCGGGCAACTCGGGGGTGGGTTTAAGACGCCACCCCCTAGTGGGGCTCTTTAAATAATGCAATAAGCCTGATGTCATTTCGCCGGACAATGGAGGCGCGCCTCTTGCGGAAATGGCCCCTAAGATTGCCTACCCCTCGGTGTCGCGCACCCTCAACCCTCTCGTAATATCCGCCCCTTTGCCTCTCGGGGGGTTTGTTCGATCTCTTTCAAAATGTGGAAAAATCTGCGCTTCAGAAATTTCAGCCAATAAATGGCATTAAAATTCCCAAGAGTGAAATTCATATTTATAAATTGTAAAATGTGAGAAAATCTCCTCAGAAGCGCACTTCAATAATTGTTACAAAAAATTCTCCTTTACACCTGCCGTGCAAAATATGAATTACGTTAACGAATTAATAGAAAGAATATTTCTGATAAATTTCGGTCGCGTACCCTCTCTCTCTTAAATCTGACATAAAAAATACTAATTATCGTTAAATAATCGATAAAAAAATGTTTATAGATACGTTTAACCGTGAAGAATCTTCCGTGAAATGGGCGTAATAAATTTCGATAAAATACGAGAGGATAAAAAAATAGAGCAGGCCCCGGGCGGTCCAGGAAGAGACGAGGAGCTATCGATCGGCACCGGAAGCTGGGCCGGCCTCGCAAAAGACGGAAGCTGATGGACCGACGGATGGGACGGCGTCTGTTCTCGTTTGCTTAAATAAACATTGCTCGGACAATGGATCGGGTCCTCTTCCTCTCATCCGCGAAGTGGACGCAAAAGAGCGAAGTAGGGGGGGCACTTCGCAACATGTTTAATGCATCGTTCAACATTTCCATGTCAAACATCGCTTTGACTCGGGGAATTTAAAACTTCTCCACACATAGAAAAAGCCCCTTCAGGTATATATGTGGTGTATATAGTATATAGATATACATAGTGCATGTATAGAGAGCACTTGGCCAGGTCCAACCGGTACCAATCGGTACTTGTACGCTTCTCGGTCGATACATATGTATGTGTCGGGGCCAAGATGATGGAAAAGGCGGCCATCTTTATTTACACCAAACCCGCAATAAGGGATGCGGCAAAGAGCTCGGGCAAAGGCCGCCGATAAGGGCTCGGACGGAGAGTGCAAATCACCCGTGAAATTCACCGGTTAGAGGGAGATTTTTTCCCCGTTTTCCCTTTATCGACCCCTTCTTCGCATTCAATTGCAGCGGGGTGCTCTGTAATGGTGGCATCCGAATTTAAAGTGAAAAAACAAGTGCCTTGTATTTATCTCCCCAGAAATGAGCTTCAACTCCCTCGATAAGGGTTGGCAATTTTTTCTGAATTTTTCATATCGATAAGGGTGTATTTAAATTCCTAGGGGAGGAAAATGACTATCTCGGGTTTCGTACCTTTAATCGGTATTTTTGGAAAATTAAAGAAAAATCCGGAGGAGGAATTCTGATCCTTTCTCTGGACGTCCTCTCTAGACTCTAGGGAAGGTCCTCCCTCGAGGGTCTCCCCAAAGGACCTCGTCCTTCTGCTGATAACAATACCTCGCTTACAGGACCGGCTTTCGACTCCTTGAAATATGAACTGCGAGGGACATTCGGGGACCAGGACACGTGTCCTTGCTGGACCAAATCGCGGAATCCCTTCCAGGACACGCGGGATTAAAGGCCTTATCTCCTGGGGGAAGACTGGAAATTGTTGGAAATTCATCGCAGCGTGGATTTCGGACTTTTATTGTTATTTCATTTTAGTGAATACTTTGGTTATCTTTTCGTTACCTATGCCGACAAGATGGCGGCTTTGGGTGAGATTTGCAGAGCCCTCGAGTGACCCCTAGAAATCTGGAAGAGAGAGAGTTAGGAGAGCATTTTGGGTGCCTTTCATGGGTAGGGGTGGACCGAAGGGGTGACATGAAATATTGCCTACATAGATTTCAACTATTATTGGCTTGTGTAAAACACGGCGACATTTGGCGCTAAATCGATCAGGGGTTCGGCTGGACCGGCTGCTCTCTCGCGCTAAGAGAAATAAATACTTACGAAGGGACGAGGGAAATATAGAACAGGACATTTTTTAAAGAAATGTTCAACCCGAGGATTGTCACGCGATTTCCGGAGAAAATAACGAAGAAACCACTGAAATTCGTTTAGGAAAACATTCTGACGGTTTAAAAAAAAAATGGGAATTACCAATTATATTAACAATAAATTACAATTTAAATTTTTTAGTAGCGATGCATTTGGGATGCAGGATAAGGGGGACGTTAAGGATGTGAGCAGCATTTTCGGCAGAATGTTCTGGGCGGTCACTGTATTTTGACAGAAATATGTGGCAGGAGTATAAGCAGAATATTTGACAGCAATTTGTGACATGTCAGCATCTTGCAACGTACATGCAGCATTTTGACAGCGACATGCGGCATATAAACAGCATTTTGGCAGCAACACGCAGCACTTAAACCCACAGCCTCTCGTAAGTCCCGATCCGATCTCTCCTCTTGGCTCAAATTGAATTCTGATTTACTCAGCTGCACATAGCGTCGCTGCCAACCTTGCTATCTCCTTTCCCCCTGCATCCTTCTCCCTCTCATGCATCCCAAAGCGCATCCTGCACTACAACCGAGTCATATTAATTTCCCGTCCACTATTTCGCCGTGATTCATGGGGACTCGAGATTTTTTGGAAGCATTCCCTCCGGCCACTTTTTCATTGATTTATCATCCTGAAAAATATGTTCAATAAAAAATTGCATATTTGCATTTTTCGTTGAAAATTAATTCACCATTATTTTGGATGCGTGCACCGCGATGCACCGAAAATATCCGACAACTCGGCGGAGCTAATTTCATATGTTCGATAAAAAATTGTATATTTGCATCTTTCGTTGAAAATGAATTCACCATTATTTTGGATGCGTGCACCGCGATGCACCGAATGCATGTCCAAATATCGTTCGATAAAAAATTGTATATTTGCATCTTGCGTTAAAAATGAATTCACCATTATTTTGGATGCGTGAACCGCGATGCACCGAAAATATCCGACAACTTGGCGGAGCTAATTTCATATGTTCGATAAAAAATTGTATATTTGCATCTTTCGTTGAAAATGAATTCACCATTATTTTGGATGCGTGCACCGCGATGCACCGAATGCATGTCCAAATATCGTTCGATAAAAAATTGTATATTTGCATCTTGCGTTAAAAATGAATTCACCATTATTTTGGATGCGTGCACCGCGATGCACTGAAAATATCCGACAACTTGGCGGAGCTAATTTCATATGTTCGATAAAAAATCGTATATTTGCATTTTTCGTTAAAAATGAATTCACCATTATTTTGGATGCGTGCACCATGATGCACCGAATGCATGTCCAAATATCCGCCAACTCGGCGGGGCTAATTTCATTTAATCCTGCAGATATTACAGAGGAGGGTTTTTTAACATTACCGGCCCATCTGTTCGATCCGCGCGATAGCGTCGATAAAAATATGCTTTTATATATCGAAATCATGTAAGAGGCCCGGTCGTGCACTTACACGAGCATTATCGCTGGCAGGTGCAGCTGCCAATTTTGCCGGCACATTGCCGTCAGTTAGCGGTCACGTATAGTGGCCCCGACATGCGAGAAAATGGCGTTGCTAATTAACCAGTTCGCCTTAAATCCAGGAATCCCTCCCCAAAGGGATTTAACATAAGAAATTTCAGGCGCAAAAGTAATTAAAACGTACAAAACTGACAGTTTCTAGCGTGACGCGTTAAGGCTCGTTTTCCCGTGACTAAGTCTCGCGAATGTGAACCTTACGGGGCAGGCTCGTCGGAGCGTATTTTGGGAGATTTCTTTCCTGCCGGTATCGCGTTATGAATGATCAATAAATAATAATAAAAATCATCCCGAGATGGATCGATAACGCCTTATCGAATTCTCAGTGCGCACTAGTTTACCTAATCGCCTCCACGTGGCTAATCTATATTTCCCCGAGATATGCTCGTAGATCTTGAATATTGTACGACTTAATATCCGTAGGAATACTCCAGAGTAAACGCGATGAAATATTATTTTTGTATAATACATGACGGTTCATGAAAATCATACAGCTGATAAATTAAAAAATTTATTCATTTTTACCAGCCATGCGTTACCTGTCATTATTACCTCTAGGTACCTTCACAATGTCGGGAGTTAGGGAAAATTTGAAAATCTCCAGAAATTTCATGTGAAGAAAATTTATTCATTTGACAAAATGGATATTTCGCGAGGTTCGCCGATCTCGCTGCCAATCGGGGCCCGGTTGGGCCCTATGGGCCCCGTGGGCCCCTTCGGGAAGGGGGTACCAATTATCCGTATAATTTATAATAAACGATTCGCCGTAATTAATCGATTACGTCGCGGGGACGAGTTGCGTGAGCGCGCGCATGCGCGCGCGGGCCCGCTCGCGCGAAAACCATTTTTGAGATCATAATTTTAGATAGGACGATCTCTCCGGGACTCGTTCTTGCAAATGGCCGCGTGTAGGCAAATTGAGGTGAGATTGGAGGTCAGCATTCTGCCAACCGTTGCCGCACCGCGATCCGGCCCCACCCTAACGGGTGGGCCCGAAATTTGCATAAACCCGTCCCTAAACGCCGTTAATCGGCGACATTTGTCATATCGGAAGAGACGCCTCCCCGACGAAAAATAAATAACAAAAGTGACTTCACCCGACTCGCCCCTCATAAATCCAAATCCCAAATACGTTGCTTTACTCTAACAATGTTGCTTCAAGTCCAAGGAAAATATTTTGAAA